AGCCCGACAAGCGGTGAGTCGGTGCGCACCCGGGATCCGAACCCGGGCCACCAGTAGCGGAGCACGCGCACTTAATGACTAAGCCACAGGGCCGGCCCCCCGGGCTTACTTTTTTAAAGTTACTCCTTCAGTATCGTGATTTGTTTTTCAGCCAAAATAATGTTATGCTTTATATTCTGTTGAAATTTACTGTTTAACAATAAATCAGCAACTACAAAATTATCCCTTAATTAATAAAAGTACCAAATTAAATAAAAGTAAATACCAAAAAATGGAGTCAGAAAATAAGTGTAATGAGTTATTAGTAACATGAGAATGCAATTGTAGTTGTTCTATATGTAGAAAATTTCATGGAAGAGGTAGAGTTAAAAATTATGATGTAAAATCATTTTCTGGATGAAACAGAAGAATAATAAATTAAGAAAAAAATAAAGGTGTCTACCCTAGAGTACCCAAATTAACACTTCCTTAACTATAGAGAACTACTGCTGTATCAAAGAGCCAACCAATTCTAGAGCTGATCAATAAGTAGAATAAGATTTGAAATGCGTGAAAACTCAAAAGATAACACTAAGATCTTATCCATCTTACTAAAATCTTATTTCAAGCTTTACATGATATTAATGGAAAAGCTGACCACACAAAACCACGCAGAGGCAACTACGGGTGTGCTATTGTTTACAAGGTAGGCAGCAGCAATAACGTCAGAGAGACCTCAATGAAAGCTCCATCGAAGAGCTCTAAGCAAAGAGGAAGAAGCACTTCCCACAACAACCAGCTCACATCCTAGACCACCGCAGTACAGCAAAACAAAATAAAGTGTAAAAGCAGCTCTCTGTGACGTGGAGTCAATTGTAGAAAGAAAAGATGGCAAGTTTCTTTTCCCTTAAATTCACATACACTGTTCAAAAGGCTCAGGGCAGGGGATGGCAAATGGGCTTCATCGGTTTTTGACTCAGCCCAGAGCTCAGAATTAAAAATAATTGTGGGCAGCCTCTATGATAGAATAGTGATGTCTGCCAGGACCTCTTTATGGGGTTATGCCACCACATAACTTTGTTCTGGGGCTTCCTAGGTTTCTTATTAGTAATATGAAATACTTTATCCTCAGCACTAACAACCACTTGAAGGACTTATTAACAATGTGTTAACTAGAGCTTCTATCAGCAAGTTAGAATTTGAGTTGATACTTGAAATTACAGTATAGGGCTTCTCAGCGTGTTCCTTTACCCATCTAAGAAATGCAGGACAGAGGGACTGTTAAATCTATATTCCGGAGCCCTGCCCCAGACATAATGAATCTAAATTTCTGGAGAATGGGTGCCCATGTATCTCCCCAGATAATTCTTATAACATTTGAGAACCACTGGAACACTGGGGAAGAAAATGAGCCCTTGATATTAAAAGCCTACTTCCAGCTTAACCATGCACCAGCTATGTGACTCTGGACATACCACCTAGTCCTCTGAGCCTCAGTTTCTTCATCTGCAAATTAGTATAATAATAATAGTAATATGGCATTTTGTTGAATCTAAGACTCCAGAGACTAGTAAAACAAACCATTATTTCATGGACCAATAAGAAAAGAAAAAGACCCTGCCAATTAAATTATAACATGCCATCAATTATAAAGGGCATTCTCATTTCAGAGATATTATGATATTAAAAATTTGCATTTTACAATGAAGTAAATATAGTAATAACTTTCTGACTGGGTGCTGGAATTAAATAAGATGAGAAAGCACTTTTTAAACTGTCAAGTACCTATAAAAGTAATGGCTACGGCCCTTTTGAGGCTGGTTAAATATCAAAATAGTGTGCTAAACCTAACAACTTTACAGCAATTGGGCTCTTCTGGTCCAAGGAAATAGATCACCCCTCTCCTAAGAGCTTCCAATAAGGGCAGTTAAAGGAACTAAATACAAGAGTTACTCCAAAAAACTAGCAAGTAGTTTAAAAACAACAATCTTGGGCCCGCTCCCTGGTGTAGCGGTTAAGTGTGTGCGCTCCGCTGCTGGCGGTCCGGGGTTCAGATCCCGGGCGCACACCAATGCAGTGCTTCTCAGGCCATGCTGTGGCAGCGTCCCATATAAAGTGGAGGAAGATGGGCACAGATGTTAGCCCAGGGCCAGTCTTCATCAGCAAAAAAAAAAAAGAGGAGGATTGGCATGGAATGTTAGCTCATGGCTGATATTGCTCACAAAAAAAAACCAACAACCTTAAGGATCCTTTAAATTAACTGAAATGTCAAACTACTTTGAAAAACTATGAGGTAAAGCAAATGTGACACCTATGTTTGAGAAAAGCACATTAACAAAAAAAATGAACATTGAGTCTTTAAGAATCTGACTTAAATGAGTTTAAAAGATATTCAAACATGTTCACACTTAGCCTAAGGTAACCCTATTATTATCTCTGCTTAGAGTTAATCATACCATAGTTTTGAAAGGTACATGTGACATTATGCATTTATGCTGCTCCATTAATAGAACTGCAAGGAGAAACAGATGAATTCACTATTATAGCTGGAGACTTCAACACCCTCTATCAGTAACAGACAGATCCAGCAGGCAGAAAATCAGTGAGGATATAGCTGAATCCAACAGTATCTCCTGTTAACTGGATCAAATTGACATTTTTCCAACAACAGAAAAATAACACATTCTTCTCAAGCTCACATGGAATATTCACCAAAACAGACAACATTCTGGGCTATAAAACACATCTTAATAAATTTAAAAGAATAGGAACCATACAAAGTATGCTCTCACCACAACAGAACTAAACTAGAAATCAATAACAAAACGACAGCTGGAAAAACTTAAAATACTTTGAGATTAAACAACATGCTTCTAAATAACACATGGGGCAAAGAAGTAGTTTTAAGAGAGATTTTAAAAATATTTCTAACTAAATGAAAATGAAAATACAACTTATCAAAATTTGTGGGGTACAGCAAAAGTAGTGCTTTGAGGGATATTTATAGCATTGAATGCATATATTAGAAAAGAAGAAACATCTAATATCAATAATCTAAACTTCCACCTTAGGAACTACAAAAAGAAGACCAAATTAAATCCAAAGTAAGCATAAGGAAAAAAATAGAAATTAGAGAAGAAATCAGTGAAATTGAAAAGAAAAAATCAACAAAACTAAAAGTTGATTCTTTGAAAGACCAATAAAACTGATAAACTTCTAGCCAAGTTAACTAACAAAAAAAGAGAGAAGACATAAATTACTAATATCAGAAATGAAAGAGAGAGGACATCACTAGACATCTTACGGACATTAGAAAGATAATAAAGACATATTTGGAACAACTCTATGTCCACAAATTTGATATCACAGATGAAATGGACCAATTCTTTGAAAAACTCAATCTGTCAAAACTCACACGAGAAGAAATAGACAATCTGAAAAGTCTCTATCTATTAAAGAAAAAGAATCAACAATAAATAACCTTCCAAAACAAAGCACCAGGCCCAGCAGGGTTCACTGGTGAATTCTACCAAACATTTAACAAAGAAATTATACAAATTCTCTACAAAAAAAGATAAAACTTTGAAGTTATAGATTCATATTATTTCTCAAAAGAATAATGATTAAATATTTATTTGCAGAAGTTGAATAGCACAGCATATAGAACTGATGTGAAAGCCTTTCTATTGAATCAAACCATTAAGGGGGAAAAAAGAATGACTTTGAAGTGCACTATCTCTTCTATATATAATTACTCAGTTTCTATGCTATTTTTCCACCCCCTGCCCTGCAAGATTCAGATTAGCATCTGCATGTATTTGAACATGCACGTGAAAAATTGCCCTCAGATAAGAATCCTTGGAGGGAAAAAAGGAAGAAATTATACCAATTTTCTACAATCTCTTCCAGAAAATAGAAGCAAAGGGAGTAATCCCTAACTCATTTTATGAAGCCAGCATCACCTTAATACCAAAACCAGACAAAGACATTACAGGAAAGGAAAACTATAGACCAATATCTCTCATGAACAGAGATACCTCAACAAAATATTAGCAAATTGAATCCAACAATGTATAAAAAGAAGTAGACACCATGACCAAGTAGGATTTATTCTAGATATACAACATCCAAAAATTAATTAATGTAATCCATCACATCAACAGGTTAAAGAAGAAAAATCATATGATCATGTCAATAGACACAGAAAAAGCATTTGACAAAATCCAACACCCATTCAGGATAAAAACTATCAGCAAACTAGGAATAGAGAGGAACTTCCTTAACCTGATAAAAAAAACATTTATAAAAAACCTACAGCTAACATCATACTTAATGGTGAGAAACTAGATGCTTTCCCAGTAAGATCAGGAACAAGTTCTCTCTCACTATTCCCATTCCACATTATACAGGAAGTCCTAGCTAATGCATTAAGAAATGAAAATTAAAAGTATAAAGACTGAGAAGGAAGAAATAAAATTGTTTTTGTTCAGATGACAAAACTGTAGAAA